TCTCTGTTTGTGCAGTGATTTATGGCAATGACGGTTCATTTATGAGAAAAGGGGGTGTGAAATAAGAAAATGGAGCATTACCCTGAAGGGCTATTTGGAAATAAATAATTGCAAAGGTGAAACAAAAGCTGTTTAGGAAGCGGCTGCTCCCTCCGTGTTTGCCTTCAAAGAGTTATTTACCAAAACGGGGCACGTTGTTAGGCATTATCTGAAATTATGTAAGAGCAAATTGAAGCTGAAGAAGGATGCATGGTCTTCTTTTATTTGTTTGTTTGTTTTTCAAAAATACCGACAAGTATTTGTGTTGAGCCTATTTTACTTGGATACCCCCAAATGAAATCCGGTGTGTCACAAAAATGCCATTAGAAATCGACCGAAACTTTTTGGGCTCAAAAAACAAAATAAAAAAGAAAAAAAAAAAAAAAAAAAAAAAAAACTGAACTACCATGAACACCACATCCTCACTGTGACACCTGTGGTGGTGGCAGCATCATTCTGCGGTGATGACTATCTTCATCGGGGATAGGGAAGCTGGTCAGAGTTAATAGAAGAATAAGTAAAGCTATTTAAAAAAAAAAATAAAATAAAATCCTGGTTAACAAAATGATCCAGGCTCAAAAGTGTGGTGAAGAACAATAACCCCAGACATGAGGTTAAAGCTGCAATGGTGGATGCATCTACACATGCATTGCTTTTTTAATCAATTTAACCTTTCATTGATTTTAAAACCCACTATATACATACTCGCGTGACCTGCATATTTAATTTATACAGCAGTCAATGGCCTAATCCTAAAGGCCTTCACCACCACCCACAATAAGAAGTGAGAGAGAGAGAGAACAGAAGAAGAGTTTACAATTTATGCAGTTTGATTCTGAAAATCACATAAGATCTGATTAACAGAGGATAAATGCCAGGGATGCTCACATTAAAGCATAAATATTCATTACGGAGGGGAGAGAGAAATAAGTAATATTTATGTCAGATGAAAGTATATAACGCTGAATAATTCACCACGGGGGCCATCTATAATTCATCCGGTTCGATTCCATGATTAAAGCTTTTGAACGTGTTCGCCAGAGGTGTTTACATGTTCGGTCAGAGGCATGTTTAACATAAAAGATAGTCGCTGCTCTGGTAGGGCTGGTGTCGGCGGCGTCGGCGGCGCTGGTGGTGAGGCGGGTGGCGAGTATACACTCTGAATCTCTTTGAAAAGAAAAAGTAGCTGACGTGGAATATCCCGCATTCTCATCAAGAATGTTTGGTTCGAAACCCGCTACCCAGCTATCCCGATGAAATATGTAGAGCGGAGTGCTGCTTCTCCTGTTTTTCTGGAGATTTTATTTTTTCTGGGTATGAATTAGAAAAGCTCCGCCGTCAAGGTCGGCGTTCCAAGGAAGAAGCGGGTCTCTCTCTGTGATTAGCAGGGTGCCGTTTACAGAGTTTGTCTAATCTTCTTCTTTGGCCTTCAACTGAACACTTTGACTCTCTGACAGGTACTTTTTTTTTTTTTTTTTTTTTTTTTGTTCAGTTGTTTTTAAGAGCCGAATA